AGGACGGGGTAGTAAGAGGAGTTTTGATTCAATACAAGGAGCATATCATCGAACGCCCTTTGCAACTCGTTTGTCCACTTGAGATCCGAAGTTGTGAGTCAGCGTCCACGAAACCAGCTGACAATCTCGAAGCAGAAGACGAAAGGGAAACCAGGGATCAAAGACCAACCAGAGATGCAGCAAAGAGAGCTAAAGAACTCGTTAAAATTATCGCGATGGATGAAGAAGACAATTGACTAGGAAGAGAACTGTAATATAAAAATGAACAATTGACATTTTTATAGGGGAGTGTGTGCGGGTTAACCCCCCGCGGAATTAGGTTGATAGAACCCCCCTGAACTAGATCACGTGACGAACTGGTGTTGTTGTTGTTGAGACTTGAGAGAGAATTATATTATTTTATTTCGTGAGCATTAACTTTATGTCGTTATAATTTGATTATTCGAGCTTTTATAAATAAAGTTTTTATGTTTAATTATTTGTGAGTGTATATCGGAACGATTCGGTATACAAGCTCGTTAAGGGTTTGGGTAAGGACGACTTCAAAAATTTGGATATGATGTTAGGTTGTAACACTAAGGAACAGAGGGAGTTGCTTAAACGGATAAAGTGGTTATGAAACGAAATTTTTGCCTCATTTTTTATTGTTTTATTAAAAGGTACTGTTTAAATGATGAAGAATGACGTTTACAGTTTGTTCGTATCTCATCTCATTCCCAAGTTATCGCACTTTCTATATTTTGAGTTGTGACGTCACTAGTTTGAGTCGAAATAGTGGCAATAACAAGAAAATCTGATATCTTGATGATCATTTAATAAAATTCAATGAAACTTGGCACACTTAGTGGGTGCAACGAAGTGAACAATTTGGCATGTTTATATGGTTTTTATGGCAACACACTCGTCCCCAGCCCCTTCTCTTCCAATTTCTATATGATCCATTTCCAACGAAATAAATGGTAATTTCATCAGTTGTCGCTTATTACTATAATACGTGTAGGTATTGTGATCAGTTTAAACCGTTATAACATGCAAACATCCACTGCAAGAGGTCTACAGGAGGAAATTTGTGAATAGGAAGAGAAGAGACTGGGGACTAGTGTGTTGCCATGACAACCACATGACCTGCCAAAAATATTCATATGGGTGCACCCACGAAGTGTACCGAGTTTCATTGAATTTTATTAAATACTCACCAAGATATCAGACTTTCTTGTTATTGCCATTATCTCAAGTCAAACTAGTGACGTCACAACTCAAAATTTAGAAAGTGCGATAACTTGAGAATGAGATGAGATATGAAGAATCTGTAAACGTCATTCTTCATCGCTCTAGCAGTACTTTTTAGCAAAACAAGAAAAAATGAGGTGAAAATTTCGTTTCATAAGCACTTTAAACGGAAGGGTGTTTACCCTTATGAATATATAGATGGTTTTGAGAGGCTTGAAGAAACATCGCTCCCACCGAAGGAGAAATTCTTCAGCAGGCTTAACAACGAAAACATCAGCGATACGGATTATGAAAGAGCCTGGAACGTATGGAATACCTTCAACATGAAAACCATGAGGAACTATCACGATCTGTACCTGATAATGGACGTCCTCCTCCTGACAGATGTGATGGAAAACTTTAGAAAGGTTTGTAAGACCAACTACGGATTGGATCCAATGTGGTACTACACAGCACCCGGGCTGGCATGGGACGCTGCGCTGAAGTTAACCGGTGTGGAGCTGGACCTCATATCCGATCCGGATATGTACCTATTCATCGAAAAGGGTATTCGGGGCGGGATCAGCACCATTACTAAAAGGTATGCCAAGGCAGATAATAAGTATATTGAACTTTCTAAGAACCTAACCTGGTTGGAAAG